TTACTCTCTATTTTTTTAATTTGTTGTGAAATTTCGAGGCTATAAAATGTTTTACAACTTGTTTGTGTGTTGGATATTGTTTAGAAAGTATGTTGCTTATTTTGTGGTTAAAATGGCTGAATGTGGTAAGAGTAATTTGAAGTTTCTGTACGATTTGGAATGAAAGGAAAAAAAAGCATTAATTGACTGGTGTGTAAATGAAGGTTTACATAATAGCCATTATAAGTATCCTGTTTGTACAAAGGAAATGCATATGGTCGAACGTAAAGATTGTTCAAATGGCTTTGTCACAAGAAAGGTTCAAATGGTCACAACATAAACCGTTCCATTAGAAATGGGACATGGTTTCAGGAAAGTTTTTGGATGCTGTTATGGAGTTTTGCGTGCCATAGGATAGACACAGAAATTTCTAAATAAGATAAGTGGATATTTCCTTGCATAGTGATATTCCTTGTGTAGTGAGTAGATGAGATAGTGCTTTTTTATATTATTTCATTGTTTGATTTAAAATGCAGTTTATTGAGATTATATATTTTTTATTTAGTCCTACTGTAGAATTGGGTGCTTCATTGATTTTGAAGTGAAAAATAGATCGATATCTACATGGAAAATATCAAGTCACTGTGCAATGCTAAATTTGCACAATTCTCTGATTTTTTTCAGAGAAAATAGGTCAATGTGTATATAGATGCTGAGTTTGTGCAATTTTGTGACTTGCTATTTGGTTTTGTGTAGCAGAGATTTTTGGCGCAAAACTTCCCACTGCAAAAAAAAAAAAAAAAACAAAATAACAAGTCAAAGAACTGCATAAACTCGGTGCCCACGTACTGCTAAAAATCCCCAATGGACACCATAAGTATATTTTTACCAGCTTACCTTTCATTTTGATGAAAATCAGTGAATTCTAAACTGAATCAATATTTCTTAAAACATATGAAGGACCAAAGCAACATTTTTAAGTAATACATTAAATTAAATATATTTGAAAAAATTTATTTCAGAAGTCATATTAATGAACATATGGTTTAAATGCAATATAATATGAAATATAAATGTGTCCATAACTGCATCTGAACAAGCCCAAAAGAATTCTCGTAATCATAACAATATTATGAATGGTGTAATACTTATATATTTATTATTTTATGTCACCTGTCTTACCAGTAATTTTGCAGAGTGTATCCCATAATTCTTGTTTCGATCTATGTGTGTAAACAACAGGCACGGTTTTTCCTCCGTCCTGCAATTGATGCTTGCCTATAAAAACAACAGCATCAGAATTATTATGTTTCTTATCCAACCATTCTTCTACTCCTTTTTGTCTGAAGATATCTTCAATGTTTATATTAAGTGAAGCACAGCTTTCACAAATTCAAATTCAAAAAATGTTCAAAATTAATCCTTTCTTTTTCATTTAATTCTTTCACAGGACTTCCTTTCTACCTGGGAAATTAAATTCTCAGAAATTAAGTCTTCCGATCTTTCTACTTGGGAAATTAAATTCTCAGAAATTAAGTCTTCCGATCTTTCTACCTGGGAAATTAAATTCTCAGAAATTAAGTCTTCCGATCTTTCTACCTGGGAAGTTAAATTCTCAGAAATGAAGTCGTCAGATCTTTCTACACAATCAGAATTTTCAGATGGTGCAACTTCTTGAGAGATAACTTCTACGACTGAGATTTGCTCCCTTTCAAAGACTTCTGCCACATCACTTGCTAAATGTGAAGACAATTCTGTATGATTTAAATTAGATTCAACATCACAAACCATACTTCCAGATCTCTGTTCTGCCTCCCGGTTTGGGTTTGTATATGCATTCAGAGGCATTTCATATAATTCTTCAACAGGATTTTCTGAATAATTTGCCATGCTCTCATGTGTTACATTTTTAACTTCTTGCACACAATTAGACTCTTCAGCTGATGTATGATCAATCACGTTTTGTCCAACAGATATCTTACTTTGCTGTGTTTTTCTCGTTCTTAATTTATATCGGCATCTGGGTGATACAGGGATTTCTTTCTTGGTGTTATTTTCTTCCAATACAGCAGAATTATTATTTTCCAAGCTAAGCGTTGGTAATTCCCTCACAAGACGTACCCTACAGAACATGGAGCTACTAGGTTCATCTGCATGAAGAATAGCAGCTGCACATGTCTTATTATTTGCAGGCGAGTTGCATACACAAAGAGATTCTTTTTCATTGTCATTTTGTTTTTTAACAATTTGTTCATCTTGTGGAAGAACAGGATCAGAATCTTCTCGAGACTGAATTTTTCTTCTCAACTTGTATGAACACTTGGATGTTTCCGAGACCCGAATTTTGCTGTTTTCTGTCCAATTTTCTTTGCTGTTACAAGAATTCTCACTTTGACCTTCTTCCATACCTTCTGTTACAGGATCACTCTGTACATTCTCATTATTATTTATGTCAGCAGTGCACATTATATCATTTACCAAAACATTAGAATTACCTAAAAGAAGCATGTTTATTTCTTGCTCCTCATTAATTTGTTTAAATGCCACCGTATGATTTTCTGCATCATTTGTCTTGTGGGAAAATTCAAAGCTTTCAAGATTTTCCTTAGAATTACATTTTTGTTTTAGCAAATCAGAAGTTTCAGCAATCACATTTTCACTTTCAGTCAGTTTTTCTTTCTTTTTAAGTGTGGCAGAAAATTTATTTTTTGCTGCCTTTTTCTTCTGAGTTTTAGTTCCCTTCCTGGCCTTTGAAATTTTCATTTCAAAAGCATCACTTGTGCTTTCGGTAATTAATGGAGTATCAGATGAAAGTACTTCATGATTTCTATCATACAAATTAATTTTGTCTGAAACAGACAGCAAGGTGTCTCTTTGATTAATATCTTGTATTAGAATACCCATTTCCATATGGCATTTATTATTTTCCACTGTAGATGAATTTTCAAGACCTTCTTGAGAATGATTTCTCTTCCGTAAATGATAATGACATTTAGGTGTTCCACTATTCTGGGTGATGGTATTATTTTCTTTACTATTATATGGCAGCTTTACAGATAAGGTATCATAACTGCTGCCTTCAGGATTCATAGTTTCTGTTATACACTCAGCTCTATTTTTAGATCCATCAAGTACACTTTCACCAAAAACACCATCATCAATTGCAAATATATCACGACTTGTAGGTTTTATAAAATCATCTATAACAGAATTAAGTGAATCCTTTTCACTACCAAATGACTGTTTCCTTTTACTTGGTGATTCTTTTGAAGCATTCAAAGATGCATTATCTGCCAGTAATGGAATGTTTTTACTTAAATCATTATCTTTTGAAAATTTAGAAGAATTAAATTCTAATTTTCTTTTTACGGGAACTTCTTGCATTTGGGGCATAATTTTTCTTCTTGTTCTAAGATTATAAGGAGAAGTGTTATCAAAATTATCAACAGCATCTTCTGGCTGCATGATCATATTTACATCTGAGAGATCCATAGAATCAGGCAGTTCATTGAATGTGGAAGTAATTTCAATTTCCCCTACAGTATTAGCAAAAAAATCCATATTTATAATACCTTGAGCTAAATCTTCGTTAAAATCATTTACTATATAAATATCTGAATAATTCTGAATGGTACTCTCTTCCAAGCTTATATCAGATAAATTTAGAGATTCAGTTTCTGCTGCCTCTTCATCATTTTTCTCCCTAATGCTAAGGTCACAATTAGTTTCATCAGTGACATTTTTCCCATTAAAACCAACCCCATTTCCATGTATGCTAAAATTATCCTTGGAACTTTTCAAAACATTCACTTCATTCGAACCCGTTGCACAAGAAATATTAGCTTGAGCTGATGTTTCATTATTTATCGGTTGCTCATTTACAGAAAGAGTCTGGAACTGGAGTTTTCTTTTCAGAAGACTGAGTACCGGTTCTCCGTAACCACCTATCCAAAGTTGTTTGCTTTCCACTTGATTTTTCCGGAGAAGGAGATTTCACATCAAATAATTTAGAAATTTCGCATACGTTATTAGTTAAAGTTAAGAAGTTCGTTTGATTATTAAATAAACTATTTCCTACACCAACAGTTTCACTTTGATCCTCAACATCTGAAGTTTTCGCTTTCTCCACCACTTCAAGCGCAAATTTAACAAGTTGGGCTTTAAGATTCTCATAAAACTTCTTCTTCAATTCATCACTCATTTTTCAAAGCACAAGAAAACATGCACTATATTACTGACAGTCGTTACTGGCAGATTATCGCACGAGTTATAAAGGCTACTTTAAACAGAAGACGCAGGTTTACAAAATCTAGCCCCGATCGAGTTCTCTCTCGGCTTTTTAGCGCCTTTGACGTTTATGTATCACAAATAAATAAATACGATATATTAATTGTTGCCATTTACAAATTACTAAACACATAGGTCGGGCATTCGTCTTTTTAAGGCTTTGTGCTGTGACTGCGCAAGGTTTAATCCTAGTATCCGGTGTGCGCGGGATTTGGCGACTTTATGATGAGCAGTAAAAACGGGACATATACGATGAGTAGTAAACTGGTATTCAAATAATATATATAGTTATACACAGTATATGCTATGTATATCGTGATAGTATATATTGTATAGTATATACATAGACATTCTTTGGGTCATTTTTGGTGTTGGCAATAATTTTCAAAATCGCACCAAGGCTGCACCGCATACTAGGATTTTACCGATTAGAAACTTTGGTGACTGCGAAATCGCGTATTATGCTAATTTTGGTAGCCTATTTACTTCAAGGCCATCTTGATGTAAATGATGATCAAGATGGCCTTGATTTACATTCGGCGATGCAGCCTCTACCTCATATGTGAATTGCATGTTCTAATTCCTTTTTTTTTTTTAGATTCGTACACTTTCTTTTAGTGTTTATTGCTTTTTTTTTTTTTTTTTTTTTTTTTGCATGAATATATTTTTGGCAGCGATTATAGTGGATTTGCTTCTAGTAAAGCCATTTCAGGATGCAATCAAAATTTCTCCCTGGATACGTTCAAACAACTAAACTCTACTTCAACTCTCTCCCTAATGTAAATAAAACAGTGAGTAAATGTTTAATGGGCAACACGTTGTTTAAACCCAGATTTTGGAAAATGTTACCCTCTTCATCAGTTGTTGTAATTTTGGGATGCACAGGAACTGGAAAATCTAAATTGGCTATTCATTTGGCGAAAAAATTTAATGGTGAAGTAATCAGTGCTGACTCAATGCAGGTATTTAATTTAAGCAATGTACTAATTTCAAATAATTATGTCATTATTAAAAATTATGGTAAAACCCAAAGTATATTTACGGGTGCCCCTTGCCGCTACACAAAACCAAAATAACAAGTCAAAGAATTCCACAAACTCGATATCCATGTACACATCGACCTATTTTCACTTAAAAAAACAGAGAATTGCACAAACGTGGCATTGCGCACTCCCTTGCCTTTGTTCATGTACACATCGATCTATTTTCATTTATAAATTCAAAGGAGCAGCCAACAAAAAATATATAATCTCAATAAACTACATTTTAAACCAACATAAAAACGGAAATTCATCTTAGCATTACACAAAGGAAATATCCACTTACCTTATTGGAAGCACTTCCGCAGAGAACCCGGTAAATCTAAACATCGCCAACTTTGTCGATAATAGTTCAAACCTGGTAACCCAGCGGATATATACTATTTGCTTGTTCGAAGTTTGCAGCCATTCCTCTTGCGTTCATTTTGTTGAATTATCACTGTCGTTGTTCGCATTTGCAGATTTATGTTATTCTTCTCTTATTTATTATAATTTTTACTGAATTTTTTAACAACGAATAGATAGAAATATTTTCGTAGATAGATGCCGGTTCTCGGTTGGAAGAAAATACAGCGGGAGGGGTGAATGCTAATTTGTAACAAGGCTGTTCACGTAGTGTTCTTAATTATTAACAGCTCTAAGAACCATGAGGTTTCCAACCTCTAAATTTGTTTTTGTAGGCCGCAAAAATATGCATGTGCATTCTAAATAATTAAGTAATGCTTTTATTTTAATTATTGGTTATTGTCATCTAAAATTATGAGAATAAATCAATTTTTATGGCGTAAAATTTTAACAAGATAATATATTATTAATGCTTTTCTAACAATAACCTTTCAGATGATGGCAGGGTGTGGCATAAATAGATGATTAATTGAAAAAAAAATTATTGATTATCTAGATGACTGAAAGTTTGATGCATCACCATGGTCATCAAAATTAGCAAACCACTGCTGGTGTAAGGAATATATTGTTTTCTATGTTAACTGGAATTTAAGACAAATTTTTTTCGTATATCACGTTTAACCAGTTAATTTCAGTAGATTAATACTAATTTATATTTTTTAAATGAATTTTTAATTCTGTTATAAATGCTGATATAGTGTCTTATGCTTAATATATTCTTTTCTGAGCTAACTTGAATTTATTACAAATTCATTTTCGTATATCACGTTTAACTGATTAGTTTTACATCTACATGCTTATTATCTGTGAATTTTTACTACCATATGCTTAATATATTGTTTTGTCTGCTAACTTGAATTTACATGCACTAAAAATCACGTTTACGGCTCGGCTCATCGTCGATGAACTGCGAGCTTGGCGAGTAAAAATGCAATGCCGCCAACGGGTTCTTTCCTGAAGTGCCAACGGGTTCTCTGCGGATGAAAACCCACCTTATTTAAAAATTTTCCTGTCTTCAATCTAACAAAATTCCTTAACAGCATCCAAAAACTTCCTAAAATTATCTGAACTAGAATCTGTATACTGGCATCCTTGTATCACAGCTATCGCCACAGCACAAAGCCAAAATAAGTTAAAGAATTGCACAAACTTGGTATCCATGTACACATTGACCTATTTTCACTTCAAAAAAAATTTCACAGAATTGCACAAACTTGGCATTGTGCCCTTGACTTGGCAATAAATGAAACAACTTTGCGATAATGCAAGGGGTAACCTTCAGTCTACTCTAACCCATATGTGCCTTCATTTCATGTAACTTTGATTGATTCTTTATTAACCACTCTTTGTTTTTATGAGCAAGGATGTAAATTAACTGTTCTTGCTGATATTTGGAATATGATAATGTGTAATTGGAAGATAATTTCCCTGGTGATATTTTTAGGTAGGAATCAGCATAAATCTGTAAAATACACAGTTTGGGAAAAATATAGTTGAGTGTAACCCTTGGCGAGTTTTTGGCACCATTCCTGTTTACACGTAAGGCCCTCCCCAGTAAAATGGCATACAAAACATAATTAAAACAAAAATATATAATCTCAATAAACTGCATTTTAAATCAAAGAAGGAAGCAACTTAAGAATGGAAATATATATTATCTAATCTTAACAGTACAAAAAATAAATATCGACTTACCGTATTTAGAAATTTTGGTGTGTGACAAACAGAATTCCTTAACATCATCCAAAAACTGTCTAAAATTATCCAAACTAGAATCTGTGTACTGCTGTTGCCACATACACACAAAACTAAGAATAAAAAATATCCTTCGTAGTGTCGGACAAAGCCGTGTGAATGATCTGGCACTTATTATGATTACTTAGTAAACCTTCATTTACACACCAGTCAATTAATGCTTCCATTTTCCCCCATTCATTTCAAATTGTACAGAAACTTCAGATTAATCTTAATCATAGGCAGTTATTTTACAGTGTAAAGCACAAAATAAGCAATGTGCTTCTTAAACGACATCCTACACAGAAATAAGCTGAGAAATCAAAATCGTTGCTAAATACGGTAATGCGTGAGCATTACAACCAATCACGCCATGATAATGTTTCCAAAACATACACTGTAAAATATTCAGATTACCATAAATGAGACAACTTAGTGATAATCCAAGGGTTACCACAAAATACACCACAGTTCTAATTTAATTTGTCATAGACAAATCAGAAGTTATATTTATGGACAAATCCTAGATTCTGGGACATGTATAGAGGAATCATCCTCAGAGGGAAGAAATTTACGACAATATCTGCAGCACTTCACATCATTTATATCATTTAGTCCCTTGTGTGAAGAAGGGAAAGATTCCACATCAGTCATTACAGTCATCAGCATTGTTTTCAACTCTCTTCTCCATCATTTTGCTCAGTTCATTTCTATTTGTATAGCCTTTGGGTTTATACTTGGCAAAAATGCTCCTTTTTAGTGCTCTTGACAATGATAATAATTATTCAGATGTTGATGCTTCAGAAAGTTCCCAGCCAAAAACGTAAAATGCTTTATGATATGATGATTTCATATTTCAGATTCTGATTGTGAAAAAATTGCAAAGTTAACAAAAAAAGAAGAACAAAGAAAAATCTATTAAGAAACCATCATTGCTGAAAGATTCAGAGGTAATCCCAGCATGGACGAAATCAAAAGGAAACTTGATAAATACAAACTTCGGAATTATTTGCTAGGTTTATTGGAATTTAACAAAATTAAAAGCTACAATGAAACTGAGAAGGCCATGTTTTCTGAAACTCCCTCAAGCACAAGGAAACTGCACTGAGAAAGAATCACTGGTGCAAAATATTAATAAGAAAATCCCCCCCCCAAAAAAAACCCTACCAAAATGCATCAGATGCTGAAAATTGGATAATCCCTGGAAAACAGCAAAAAGTGCCAGTCCAGAAAAAACTGAAGTGATGGAAATTCTTTAAATAAACAGATTTGAAAATTTAAATAGGGACAAAACAGAAGCAGAGAAAACTTCGGAATCTTCAAATCAAATGAAATAAAAAATCCCTCTTCTTTTCTTTTCTAAAATAATTACTGATTGTTGAAAAATCAATTAAATGATTACAAGAAATTAGCAATAATGAACATGAAGCATCTATGAAAACTGGATCTGTTTTTGTGTGTATAATGTCAAGACTTCAGAAAAGTAACTCATGTTATAAAAGAAAGGAAATATTTCAATACTTCTTTGTTTATAGCAGCCTCCAACCATATTTGGCGATTTTAGATTTGCGCCAAGATCTCAGCTATAATTTCGTCAAGCTCATGAAGCTCGAATTTAAAAATAAACAACACAATATATAATAATTATACTTGCATCTCATTTCTTAAGAATAATTTTAAGAATCCTCATCCTTATCCTTATTACAGTCAAAAGTCGTTAATCCGGACTCGTCGGGACTTCGGCGATTCCAGATTATCGATTTTTCCGGATTATAGATCATCAGTTTAAATCTGGTAAGATGGCATGCAGAAATTATAAAATTAAAAAATATGAAACCGTAATTTATTTAATTATTATTAAACCGTAATCCGCGGCGTGAAATTGATAAGCAGATTTCGGATTTCAAAACATACTTTCACTTTGTAGATACAAATTACATATTAGTAAATATATATCAGAAATTCTATTTGACATAATCGAAAGTTCAAGCTTACTTTTATGAAATTGCTCTAACAGTCTGCAAAAAGTAATAAGCTGGATCCAATTCGAAGATTAAGGAACAATGCAATCTGCAACATTAACTGAATTAGATAATTTTAGCTTAGCTTATACCTCCGTTACACATTAAACGTGCATGCGCCCAAACATATTCGCAGCCGTAAAGGTCTTACGCGCACTCTTAAATGCCTGTGCTCATGCGTGGACGCGGCGCATGCGCAGAAAGTTTGTAGCTTTGAGGTCCGGATTATGGGTGTCCGAATTAACGACTTTTGACTGTATTATTATTTTATTGTATGTAATTGTTCCAGTCAACTATCGTGTTTTCACAAATATTAATCTGTTAGTTACACCATTTCATGGACATCAGCTACTCTGCCCAAGAATACATAAATCTAATAGCAGTAACAAATGATATTCTGGATCTACTGAACCAGTTTTCAAAAGGAAGGCACATTTTCTTTTTGCAGTTTTTAACATTGCACCTCCAAATGGTTTCATCATTAACATAAAGTTTCATATTAATTATAAGTCAAACAACAAAAATCAGTGTTGTATTTTCGAATTTTCATAGGACTAGTTTCAAAATTTGAAAATATAACACAGATTTTTGTTGTTTGACTTCTAAATTAATATTTGTTCGGTGTGTTATTGTATCTTAGTAAAGTTTCATGTTGTGACCATTTTTGCACACTTGTTTGTCAGGTAAAAAACCTCTTTCTTGAAAAAATTATATGGCATACAGCTCATTGTTCGGTAAATTAAAATTATTAATGTCAAATTC